ATAATTTTAAAAATATCCACCGACTTTGGTCGGTGTCGGATTTTTTTTGGCCGGTTGTGAAATTTAATTGACCGGCCGAAGTCGATCACAATCGATTGAAGTCGATCGATTGGCTCTATCGACTACCACGAATCGGTTGGTTTTAGGTTGGTTTTTGCCAATTATCAACTAACATCGGTCGATTTTGGATATCGATTTTTGTCATATTTTTAGTAGTGACTATTGATGAACAACGCGTAAACTTTTGGAGTATATTTAAATTTTCCTGGATTCAGGGATTACTAGATTCCCCGTGTGGGAGTCGTTGGTGATTAATTTGGATAAAACTTACCTAGAAGAAACAAAAAATGTGATCTTGCCGTCAAGGATTTATAAACGATATCTATTATTATTATTGGAATCGAACCTTTTGGCCTCAAATGAGAAGTCTTCTGACTATGTGTTGTCTTAAGCTCCTGTAGGAATATTTTATGCATAAGTGACGTCAGGGGCGGCCCGATGAGTTTTGTGGCCTAAAGCCAAACTTTATAGGGGCCTTAACTTTTTCTTTTTTTAAAAATTATTTATTTATTTGAAATCTATTTTTCTACCGTTTCTTAGATACAAAGTTATTAATAATTTTTTTATAATCAATAATTCCTAATAAGTTTTTCTTAATTGACAATATAACTAATCCATTTAATCTTTATTGAGACATTGTTGATCTTAGGTGAGATTTTATCAATTTAAATTTTAAATTTTTTTTCCCGCTGAAACGACGGGAACAAGAGTTATTAACATTATTCCCTAAGTAATATAGGCATTGGAAAAAGAATCAAATTTTTTTTATTTGACTGAGTGTATCAATTAAACTGTTATTTCTAATTGTACTGTAATTTTTTTTTAATATTTTTAATTCCGTAAATAAATCTAAAACATCAATATCGAATTGATTATTATGCTTTAAGGAACATTCAAGATTAAGGCAATATTTTTTTAAATTTTCATCATCCAGTGATCTTAATTTTTACCGCTAGAAAACCAAAAATATTTCCATATGCTTCGAATTGTTCAAATCTATTTTGAAGTTAAAAAAATAGCCTTGTCTACTATGTATAAAGTAATCAACTCGAAAGGACTCTTCGAAAGATTTTGAGATTTTATTAGCAACATTCTCATCAAATTGTTACTTCCTACATATCATACGTTTCTTACGAAATTCGGGTTCGATATTCATTTTAAGTGCAATTTTCTTGGCAGAAATCATAGCAGTTGCAAATCATTCTTCTCTATACTTGTTAAAGAAAGAACTCAAACTTTTTCACTTCACAAAACTTTTTTTAAAACTTATAAATAGCATATTAGGTGTAATAAAAAATGGGGCCCCCATAAATGTGGGGCCTAAAACAGTTGCTTTACTTGCTTTATGGAAGGTCCGCCCTTGAGTGACGTCAAAGAAGCAGCCAAATTTAGTGCTAGTATACAATTGTCAACACCAAATAAGCTAGTAAAAGAAAATAATAATAATAATAATAATAATAATAATAATAATAATAATAATAATAATAATTGTTGAAACAGACACCCAAACAACACAATAACAATAACAACAATAACATACCAATATAATTTCACAAGTTGGGTCTGAAAAGGATAGAGTATTATACGCAGACCTTACACCTCGCTAGGTTGAG